GTCTGAGCAGGTGGACAGGGAACCAGCAACTTTGGTGCTGAGCAGACCTGCAGGACTCCAAGCCCGGCCCCACTGCCCCCACTAGACGGAGCTGACTGTGAGGCTGCTGCCCAGAGATTCTGTTGAGCCTGTGCCAACCCCTGGTGCCTGTGGGCAGGGCTCTGTGCTCTCCAGGAGGTGGGGATAGGGACTGCCACTGGGGTAAGGCGTGACCCAACCAAAGAGGTCTGGTGGCCAGCACTTAGACCCTCCGGCTTCTCCCAGGGAGAAAGCGAGGCCGACAGCCCGCCCTGAGCTGCAGTTCCGCACGGCCCAGCTCTGCCTGGGCGGCACCGCCTGCCAGCACCGCGGGGCTTGCCTCGGGGGTTGGTTTCCTTCAGGGCCGTGTTTCCGGGACGTGGTCCTGAGCTCACGGCAGGCCGGTGGGACAGCAACGAGCACCCACATTAGTTGGCAGCAGGGGAGGTGTCACACCCCACCCACTTTCCCCCCTCAGCCTCGGTGCATTGTGGGGGGGAAGCACTGGGTACACAGCCCACAGTGGAGGAGGCTGCAGTGCCGTCCGGGGTGCCGGTTCCGCGCAGGCCCCCACCCCCACCCCCGTAAGTTCACGTTCTAGTCTAATTAGATGGCCCACACCGCTTTTTAGTTCTTTAATTGGGCTATAATTTACATCCCATGAAGTACACCTTTGAGCGCATACCTGTACACTCCAGGGTGTTTTGTGACTGTGGGCTCCCACCACCCGGGGCTGGGCTCCACCCACATAGACCCTGGGCAGCGCCGGACCCTTCATGGGAGCAGCAGCCCAGAGCTTAGCCCACTGCTCCCCAGGCCTTCCTGGGCTGGCCATCCCGCGGCCAGTCCTCCACCAGGAGGTGGCCCATTCCTAGCTGGTGCACACTTGGTGTCCTGGTCATGTCTCCTGGGGGTTGCAGGGTCAGGTCCTGGGAAGACTCTGGGCGCACAGCCCACTCAGCACCTGCTTCAAGCAAGCACAGTCCGCAGGCCTTGCCAGGCCGCCTCGCCTTGCTGCTCCCCACACGCGGGCTTCAGAAAGTTCACGAGACAAATGGAATTAAGAGGTAGTGGAAACCCTCTCCACCTGCCCCCCGCCTTGAAGTGGCTTCCATGGCAACAAGCCTTGTTGGTTGGCCCTGCGGGCGCACAGCCTGGTCTGTGTTTGAGCCCTTTGCTGCAGCCCATGTTGGCGAATTGCAGGAGGCCTCTTAGGGCCACCAGCCCTCTTTGCCAGCTCCTGGTGAAGTGTCCCAAGCACAGCCCCACCCCACCCCCAGGTTTGCTGGTCAGTTCTGTTCTTGAGAATATGTGGGTGAGTGTGCTGGGCGCATGCGGTTCTAATTCAGCCAGGCTCTGAGGGTGGTGTGTGGCCTACATGTTGGCTGCTAACTGTAGGGTCAGTGGTTCAGACTCAGCAGTAGCTCTGAAAGAGGACAGTGAGGCGAGTGAGCCCCCTTCTGGATCGACAGCTTCAGGAGGCCAACAGGCACTCCTCTGTGCCGGGCTGCGTGGTGGGATCCGCCGGGCGTCCCCAGTGCAGGGACAGGCTGGAAGGAGTCTTGAAGGAGCCTGGTTGCTTCATAACCTGGGGTTACTCTTAGGGCTGCTACCCACGCGATTGACAGCTCGGATCGACCAGCTGCTCCTTGGGAGACAGGTGAGGCTTTCCACTTCTGTAAAGAGTTAGACACGAGAACCCACAGGCAGGCCCACCATGTCCCGTGCAGTCGCTCTGAGTTGGCCTCGGCTGGATGGGCTGTGATCGGTTGGTGTACGTGTGCAGAATCGTGTCTGACTGCTGGACTGCTGCTGCCCTGGGGGCTCGTGCCTGACCCAGGTACCATGACACCTTTGTCTACAGTCATCGTCCACTGTCGCGAGAACCTTAGGTTAAGGCATCCTGGTGGCACAGTGGCTGTGCGCTGGACTGCTTGCTGCTAGGCCAGCAGTTCGAACTCACTGGCCACTCCACAGAAGAAAGACGGCCTTTCAGCTTCAGTAAGAGTCAGTCTCAGAAACCCACGGGGGCAGTTCCGTTGTGCTCTGTAGGGTCCCTGAGAGTCGGCATCCACTTGGCGGCAGCGAGTCAGGCTCTTTGGGGTGATGGTAGGGTGGCCGGTGAAGCGTGTAGCTAGCTGCAACCAAGAAAGAGGATGACAGGAGCCTGCCCCGGAGCCCCACGGGGGTGACTGGACAGGAGGCTCTGGGGGTCGCTCTGACCCACCACCACGAGGAAATGGAGACGGGGAAAGCCGGCTTGCTGGCCACCACTGCCTGGGTGGTCACTACCACGGCCGGCAGCAGCAGAGTCGCTGAGCGAGGTTCAGCAAGCCCCCAGTGTTTTCCGGCAGCTCCCCGATGCCCTTTGCGCAGCCTTTGGAGCTCTGCTGCACCCCCCGTCCCCCAACACGCACAACCCTGTGCGGTCAGGGGACTCTGCCTCGGCGCCCCTGTGGCACTGAGTGGAGCCGCCTCAAGCGGGGTTTCCCAGGCCGACTGCCGCACCTTTCCCTGCCGAGCCAAGAAGCAGGTGGGTGCAGACCAGCAGAGCTCCAGGCAGGGGAGAGGCGCACCAGAGAGTGGTTCAGATCCTCCTCCTGCCTCAGCAGGGAGCCTGCACGCATGACCTGTGTCCCTCCATCCACCTGCTTCCTTCCCTAGGGGCATGGCCCTCTGCTGCGCCCCCCTCCCCCTGTCTATTTCTGGCCCTGTGCCACTCTTGTTTGGCTAGGGCCTCCTCCAGGAGGGACTCACTTGTTCAGCCAGGTGTCTTGGTGCCCTGGCCTGTGAGAGGAGCAGCTGCCTGTGCAGGCCAAGAGGGAGCGGGTGCGGGCAATAACGGGCAGTGTGCTCATTAGGCTACAATGAAGAAGGGCCTGTGAGTGTGCGGGCGGGCAGCAGCGCAGCCCTATAATTAGCCGTGCACCGTCTCTACTCCCGCTGCTTCCCCCCCAGTCCTGAGCAGGCCCGCTGGCTTCTGGTCCCGAGAGCACTGTCTGTCTCCCCCCCAACACCCCCACCCCCGCTCCAGCCTGCAGACCCAGCCCTGCCCTTCCTGGCCAGGGGGTGCCCCCGGAGGGTCAGCTGTTTCTCCCTGGACACAGGTCTACTGTCCCCCTGCCCCACCCCTCCCCCTGAGAGCCCCTGGGCAATGCCCTCGGTTGGTGGTTGGTGTGCCACTGCTAACCTACAGGCTGGGGCTTGGGCGTACCCAGAGGTACCTCAGCAGAAAGGCTTGGAAATGAACTTATGAAATGTCAGGTGGGGGGTGGGGGTGGGGTGGGTCGAGCCCGTACAGCCTTGAACACACTCCAGGACAGGAGTGTGGCGCCAGGTGACTGGCCACTGTGGACACTCCGGTGCCGGCATGCTTCCCCGGTGGGCTGCTCGCTGGGAGGCTGGTAGCTTGCAACCACCAGCCGGGGTGCGCAGGGGGTGAAAAAGGCTTCCTGGGCCCACGAAGCGCTACAACAGCCTCAGACACCCCCAGGGGTGGGCCGCCTCTGTCCCGCAGGGCTGCACAAGTCAAAATGAGTTGGTGGCAGGGCTTCTCAGTAGCACACATGAAGCTCATGGCCGGGCGTTGGCACCCATGTGGTGCAGCAGGACTGAGCCCTGGGTTGTCTTGGCGGCTGTCGTACTGGGAACAGGTCGCCCGCCCCCCTTCGGCTGAGACACTTCCTAGCGGGGGTGAGCCGGCCTTTCGGCTCCTAGCCCAGGGTGAAGGGTTTGTGACCCGGAGACCCACCTGGTAACACGTGGCACGTAAAGCTCTTGGTGGCCCGGGTACAGGCCTCAAGCCCAGGTGATGGGAGGCTGGGGGGAAGCCGACACAGCGGCAGGCTACAGAAATGGGTTCGGTGGTAACATCCTGGCCTTCAGATGTGCCGTCACCCAGCCCCCACTCTCCTGACAGGGACCCTGACATGGAGCTGCGGGAGGAGGCCTGGTCTCCGGGGCCGCTGGACTCGGAAGACCAGCAGATGGCCAGCCACGAGAACCCAGGTGAGTGGCTATTCTGCCCCCCGCCTGTGGACCACGGTTGCATGTTTCCACTACGCGTCCTGCTTCAGGACAGGCCTCAGGCTACTCTCCCGGTCAGCCCCACCGCTCCCTCCGGGAGCCCAGAGGTAGCACAGCTGCCCCACCATCCTGGGTGGCCACCCCACCACCACCACAAGTCGGAAGCCTTAGGGCAGGGGACCCTCCTGAGATGGCCGTAGGGGTCACAAGCCTGCAAGGACACCTAACATTTGTACATGTAAAACCACCGAGAGGGCCACACTGACATGCCACTCGTGGATAGCTGTTGTGGGGGCCCCCAAGGGGGGGGGCCGGACCTCAGGCTCAGAAACAATGCACCCTGCACAGTGTATATGCCCTGCTTCTGAAGAAAACCCTGAACTAGACCACCTGTAAGTCGGGGGCCCTGGCACCCAATGCACAGAGCAGAGCCGTCAGGGCATCCAGGGCTACTTCCCCACGGGCACATAGCCTGGCCTTTCTTTTGGCCCCCACCCCTCAATTTGACTCGATTAGCAGTCAGGTGCTAACCACATACAACTGCTGGTCTTCACCAGGTCCCTCCTGGAATGCCCAGGACACTCCCAGATCACATGTCCTTTCACCTGGGCCTGGGCCACAGCTGGGCGTTTCCAGGCAGACCCAGCAGAGCTGCCCCGTGGTCCCTGCTAGTGGTCTTCCAATCCAAGCTCACTGCCATCCAGTCATGCCCAGTGACCCTGTAGCACAGGCTAGAACTGCCCATCGTTTTCCCAAACGGCAGCTCCTCCTGACTGCCAGCGTCCATGCTGACGGACAGCGGCCCCGACAGGACAGAACTGCCTCCGCAGCTTCCGAGGCTGTCAGATGGTGCGACCAGAAAGCCTTGTCACTCTTCCTGTGGGTTGAGTACGGGGCCACGCCTTAGTCCCACCAGAGCCACACTGACATTGGCCCCCTTTTCTCCAAGGGCCATTGTCCGTTCAAGATGTTCTGAAAATGATGCAGGCAGGCCTTGGGCACGAGCACTGTTCCCCCTGCTCCACGCCCCCGCCCCCGCTGTTGGACATTGTGCTCCCAGTGGGCAGTAGACCTGGGGGGG